GAGTGACGCTTATGGGAGGAGGGAAAGATCTGGGAGAGGCTATATCAAAGGAGACAGACAGAGAAGGAGTGGTAAGATAGGTAGGACAAGAACCAGGAAAGAATGATGTTTTAAAAACCTAGAGAGAAGAGAGTATGAGAGAGGAAAGAGTTATCAACACTATTAATGGTTGCAGGGAGGTCAAGGAGAATGAAATATGAGAAAAGGTCATTGGATTAGGCAACTAAGAGATCACTATATTAGATCAAATTCTACTATGTGGGGTTAGAACCAAGAACAGCTGTGTTCCCAGTCAGTATTGCATCTCTTTGACCCATGATTAAGTGGTTTAACTTTTGTGTCTCTGCTTCCAAAGCTATACAATGAAAAGAACACCTGCTTCTAATATTTCTGAACAGCATAAAATGGTGAAAACTTGTAGAATAATTTGACAATGAGCTATAACATGCATATGAATTTAGTAACACTGTTAAACTAAAGTACATATATCTATATCCTGCATTTAAATTTGAAGGTAAACATTACTAGAGGGTATTTAAAAATAAAGAGGCACTAATATTCTTTATTTTTTCCAGTCCTTTATTTGTATTTTTTTTTGGTCTGAACTTGTGATTTCAGCTGTTTAGCGATACATCATTGTGGAAATACACTCCACTAACTCCAACTAATAACTACTCTGTTACTTGTAGACATAATGAATGTTTTAGGACACTGAAAGCTTAAGTGACTTGTCCAGAGTCACTTAGCTTATAAGTATCAAAGACAAAACTTGGACTCAGGTCTCCTTCACTCCAAAACTGTCCCTCTACACACTATGTCATGCTGCCTCTCATTTTTAAATGTATGTTTTTTTTGAATTTTACATATTGTTTGTTAAAACAAAAAAATAGACAATTATTTTCTCTCTGCAATTTAGCCTTTTAATTTATAGTGTCATTTTACATGTCAAAATGCCAGGATGTTTTAAGATATGCTAAAATTATTATGTAGTAAAATTCAATTTTTCTATAATCCTAGAAAATAGGAAAGCAAATTCTTTTGTAACAAATTAAAATTTTAATCCAGTGGCAGTCACACTCTTAAGCAAGCACAGTCATTGTTATTGAAGATTTTATAGCTTAAAATTTAGTCCCAAACACACTGTGCTCCCAGTTGCATAGAGGAACAGAGTTGCTGAGATGGGCTGTGCCTTATCCAATGACTCCCAACAATGAGCAGCAGAGGGAATATTGTAAATACTGTCCTGACTTCAATTCCTGTGTTCTTTCGGTTGTATGAGGCTGCCTGCCATTGCAACTTGTGAATTGTCTATTCATTATCCAAACAATTTTACACTATTTTTTTATGACTGGTAAGCATCTGATTCTTATTTTGGACCTATATTAGTCCCAACTATAAGGGAGGGTCTATCTGTGTGTGTGTGTGTGTGTGTGTGTGTGTGTGTGTGTGTGTGTGTTGATGCTGACAGTGTATCTCTATTTTTTAATCTCTTTAATTGGCATTCTAAAACAAATGTTGTGGTCAATGTGTCCTCTTTGATTGATATCACTAGCCTCAAAATATGTGTATAGTGAAGATTCACAATTATATAGTATATTCAAGTTACAAAACATTTTACAAGCATTATTTCACTTGCTCATCCCTCTAATGTATATGCTATATTTTCATTGTTTGCTTTTATCTGGTAGAATAAGTAATGGATTTGTGATTTCATTGAACTAGATAAATCCCATTGAGAAATCCCTTTATGTCAATGCAAATCAGTATCATTTGTAATCATAGTCTTGGGAAATTGTCTAGTGCCCCCAAGAAGTTCAGTAACTTGCTTGAGGTCACACAGTCAAATTGAGTCAAAAGCATGACTTGATACCAGGTGTTCCTGACTCTGGGGCCAGCACTCTTTCTATTATGCCATACTAATGGAGGAGGAGGAGGAGGAGGAAGAGGAGCAGGGTGTTGATGAAAGCTAGTACTTACTTCAAATTTTCAAAGCTCCTTTCTTATATTACCTCACTTGATCCTCACAAAAACTCTTTGGAATATTTTCCACATTTTACAAATGGGGAACTGAAGCTAAGAGAGTTTAAGTCACTTGTCCAGAGTCAAACAGGTAGTAAGTGTTCAAGACAGAATAAAAACTCAGACAGAAAGCAGGATCCGAACTCTAACTGAATCAAATCTGAGGGCTCTATCCACTGTGCCAACTAGCTGCCAATGACTCTTGGTTGCTAGTATTATCATCATTTTACAAATGAGGACATTGAGTCTCAGAGAGAGTAACTTGCTTGGAAGTATACAGTTAGTAAGCATCCAAGATATAATACAAACCCACATGTGTCATCCCTAAGTCCAGGGCTCTATCTGCCTCTTCGAGTTGTCTCTCTATACAGAAATTAAACTATCAACTCATTGATGAAAAATTAATATTTTTGAATGTAAAGTGATTCCACAGTCATTGCCTTAAGGCACTAAGGAACCGGTGGAATTTCTGATTTTGCTTGATCTAGACAGAGAATAAGAAAGAGTTTGTTTCCTTTCACAACCCGTTTGTTGTTTTTCAGTCACACCTGACTCTTCATGAACTTGTGGACCATACTGCCCATGGAATTTTCTGGTTTTACTAGCAAATATACAGGAATAGTTTGCCATTTCCTTCTCCAGTGGATTAAAACAAACAGAAGTTAAGTGACTTGCCCAGTATCATACAGAGAGTAAATCTCTGAAGCTGCATTTGAACCCAGGTTTTCCTGACTCCAGGCTCAGTGCTCTATCCACTAAGTAACCTAGCTGCCTTTCAAAACCCATGGTGAGTCTTAAAACAGTGTTCTGTTTCCTCCCCTCTCCGTCATGTAGCCCTTTGCCTCTATTGTTGTTGCTACTTCTCAGCCTTTTCCCCAAATTCACTGAATTGATGATCAAGCATAAGGACACTTGGGATCTTTTTTGGGGGGGAACGAGGATCACCTAGGTCCTACAAGAAAAATAGGAAACAGTTTGTATTGCCATGCCATACTCCAGGATACAGGGAGAGAAGAGAACAAATACAGTGAGCCAAAGGGAATCTCAGTTTGTAGACAAATGAGCTGAGAGGGAAAAAAGCTTAGGCAGATGAATCCAAAGAGCAGGCTTCAAAGGAGCTCTAGGTTGGTTGTACAGGCTACAAAGACCCAGTGAGGCTATTTAAGCTTACCTGTGAGTTGGTTGTTATGAATAGTGCTGATTTGTGGGAGCTGTCCAATGTACTTCCGTTACTATAGTGACATTTCACTTTTCTTGAGGATGGTGCCCAAAGTGGGGCTTTCTACGAAAATCCTCAGTCTTCTCACTTCTTTTAATTCAATTTCTCTGTCTCTATTTGTCTACATCTTCTGCAGATATTTGGATATTTTAAATCTCAAAATCCACTTTCTTTTTTTTTCCACTTCACTTTTATTCTTACCCAAAGGCATTTGTTAAATGTTAAACTGTTAAATATCCAAAAATATGAAGCTATTGGAAGGAAGGAAAAACAAAAAACAAAACGGCACCACTGTTGTAAATATTGGCTATATTTTCAAATCTTTTCATTTTCTTAGGAGACTAAGCTTAATATCTCTCCCCTTCTCTCTGAAAATAAGAAGTGGTATCCTGGGATGTAGGGCTCATAAAAATTTCAGATGTTGCCCTACCCTAAATACAGTTAATTAAAAGCTTGTCTCCACCTTAAGTCCTACTGTCTGAATAGTACCAATCGATGATGAGGAATCAATCAGCTGGGGAGTTGTCTTTTTTTTTTCTTTGTTCACAAACTTACAAATAATCGATGGGCAAATCGACCTCCTGCTCAGCGCAGGGGTTTTAATTGACTGGCTCTTTGGTCTGAGGGCAAATGATCTTGGGGAAGGAGAACAAAGAAGCCCTGGAAGCTCTTCTGGAGCCTTGCTCGGATTTTCCCTAGACGAGGAGCGGGGAATTTCGTTTCGGCTCCAGTGTGTCAGCAGTATCACTGAGGAATACAAGCGCAGAGGGGGGACGTCCAACTTCTGACCTACGTCTCCTGTTCCTCTTAGATATCCACTGTTCTCCCCAAGCCTGAGGCAGGCGGAGAAAGGGGGAGGGGAGGGGGAGAAATGCCTCTTCCTTCATTGCTCGGATAGCAACTAAACCTGCTTTCGGGGCGGGGGGCAGAGGGTTTCACTGTACAAAAACCGTTCGAGAGAGCTGTTTGCGGGAGGTGTCAACCAGAGAAAGACGGCTCCAACAGCGACTCTGGGGAATGTGAGCTGGGCTCCCCCAGTATGCTTACTTAGGCGAGTGGAGGTCTTGCAATTCAGCCAGCCCGGCTCTGGGAGACAGGGTCAACATTCCCCAGTGACCCCTGGCGGGCAGGTCCCCTCTTCAGGACCTCATTAAAAGCGTCCAGGCACTTGTCTCGCTTCACTTGGCAGCCTGGGGGTGGTCAAGGAGGAGCCAGGCCTCTGGCTGGAAAATACTTTCCCCCTTTCCTCACTTGGAAAAAGCCAGCACCCAGCTCCTAAATCAGCAATTCCAGAATCAGGAGCAGAAGAGCCTAGCATATCCTGGGGCGGGGGGAGGGGGGGGGGGGGCAGAGTGGGAAAAAGAGCATAGGTGCAACAGCGGGGGAAATGCCGGGGTTCCCGGCCAAAGAGGACCTATTCTGCTCGGCGCAGTGGAACAGTCCCAGCTCCTGGGCCAGCCCGTGCTTCTCTCCAGTCGGCTTCAGGCTTGTCTGCTCCCATCAGCTTTAGGAGCAGGGATATTTGCCAAGAGTCCTCGGTGCAACTAATCCTGTTGTCTGCTCTGGGATCAATCTCCATGGGCGCTTACTTCGAGGAGAGGCAGAGACCGGGTCTGCGGCCGTAGCGGGCACGCTGAGAGCCAGTCTTTGCATCTCCTCGGAGGCGACGGTCAGGCATCCCAGTCCGCGGCCCGCCCGCCCAGCAGCACCCTTGGGGGAAGGACTCCATGAGACGGCGCCGCCGCAGGGTCCACTGCCCCCGATGGAACGCCAGGACGCTTTCGTGGACGCCGCAGTGCTGGACTTCGTGGCCGATTTCTCCTTGGTGTCCCCTGCAGGACCTCTTTTCTATGACCTTACCCCCGCGAGCTCTCTGGGGGAGCGGACCCTGGCACTCGGAGAGGGCATGGCCCGGGGCTTGCAGCCCTTCGAGGGAGAGGACGAGGGGGAAGAGGAAGACGAAGAAGATGAAGAGGAGGAGGGTGAGGGAGACGGTGAGGGAGATGGATGCGAGGAAGCAGAGCCCCTAGGGGGTGCCTCGCTGCTTCTGGGCCGCCCCAAGAGGAAAAGGGTGATAACCTTGGCCCAGCGACAGGCGGCCAACATCCGCGAGAGGAAGAGGATGCTCAGCCTCAACGAAGCCTTTGACCAGCTGAGGAAGAAGGTGCCCACCTTCGCCTACGAGAAGCGCCTGTCGAGGATCGAGACCTTGCGCCTGGCCATCGTGTACATCTCCTTCATGACGGAGCTGCTGGCCAGCTACGAGACGCAGGAGGCGAATCAGCGAGCCCGGCCTCAGTGAGAGAGAGCTCCAGGACCTCAGAGGGCTGCCGGCTTAGAGCTGAGGGGGAGAACTCGGAGGCCCAGGCAGAGGGGGCCTCGCAGACTGAATGTCCGCCTTCCTGGGCCACGAATGAACGCACCCGGGAAACAACTCGGGATAACCTGCCCTAGCCGCAGCCACTCTACTCCCCAAAGCCTAGCTTGCCCCGAAATTGTAGAGACTGTAGATTTAATATATGCAAATCTCTCTATGTCTAACTGGTGTCGGGAGGAGAGGGCGCTTCTCCCTACCCTTGCCGCGGGACTGCACTGGAAAGCACTGGGATATTCCTTTGCACTGGCCCATGCTCAGTCATCTGGACAGGGAGTGCAGGATAGAGAGTCTGCTGGGTGGGATGGAGCTGGGGCCTGAGCTCCGCTATTAGCTCTGAAGTGTCGCCTTTTCTCTGACTTTTTTGTGCAACTAAATAATAAATACTCCCACTCTCTTCTCTTGAAGCCTGACCAGTTGATGGGGTGTGGCCGCTGGCAGGGGCAGAGGGGGGAACATGGGCTTTTCCAGTCAGGAAAAACAAGGTTGGGGGTAGGAACTGAGGCGATTATGCAGAAAAAGGGTGCCTAGCTCAGTGCCCTGGCTTCAGTCCAGCAGGGGCTACGGATGGTTATGCACTAAGAGGACGCTGGAGCAAAAAGACTGATAAGAACAATGTAAAAAAGGAGAGACAGCAAAAGAGAATCGCTCCTCAAGGTGAGGAGAACTGCCAGGGAGGCAGCTGGGGCAGGGAAATCAGTCCACATCAGCTTGGAGACCTAAGGATGGGACAGAGTGGGGAAAGGTTTATAAGGTTTGGAAGCAGGCTTAGCATCAAGGCCCAGGAAAAATCAGACTCCCAGGTGCAGTGGAAAGAGTACAGAATCTGTAGCCCAAGAACCTTTTACCTCTGTCTGACCCCAAACCCTGTGAGCCTGGGCAAAGAGTTTTCAGTCTAAGGACTTCAGGTGCAGAATCTCTGAGACTTGAATGTTGCACTAAGCTTATCTCTAAGGTGCTTCCTGGCTCTGAATCTGCGATCCATTAAATTTAGGTTGCAGAGAAGAAAGAGTGATGGGCAGATGATATGATGGATGGATGGAAGGTGAGAAGGTTGAGCAATGAATAGATGGAAAAATAGAAGGAATGAAGGAATGGCAGAAAAAGAGAAAGAGGAATGAAGGGGTAAGGATATATCTGTATGGGCTTTTGCTAGCTCTAGGCCATTACACTTCCCTAGCAGGTGACTTGTAAAGGTAATAGAGCGGAAGCTAGCTCTTCCCAGCTCTGGCCCGTCTATCCTTCATGTATTCCTGTGAACTCCATCCCTTCCTTTTACCCCACCCCCATCACCACTATGAAGAGTGAGGCCCAGGTCAGATCTCTTGGAAATTCTTTGGGGGGGGGGAGGTGTCTGTGTGTGTGTGTGTGTGTGTGTGTGTGTGTGTGTGTCTGTGTGTGTCTGTGTCTGTTTCAGTAACTGTGTGAGACTAACAGAGACAGAAATAGGAGACAGAGACAGGCAAAAAGACAGACACATAGTTAATAGGGAGACTGAAACAGAGAAACAATGAGATGCTGAGTCAGATACAGAGGAACAGACAAACAGAAATGGAGGCAGAGAGAGAAGCAAACAGAGCATGGCCCCGGTAACCAGGGAGGCCTCTTGCTCAGGGCTGGCCACTGCAGACCAGGGAAGCTTCAGTCTCCAGGAGGACTCACTTTCACTGTTCCCCCAATACCCGCAGGCCTTTCCTACCCAGAACTTCTGGGCCCCAGGCCCTGGAATGGGATCGATTTTTCTGTCTTAGTCTGGAGAGCTATTTTCATCTCTCATGACCTCTCTTTAACTCTCTGTGTTGGGGAAAGGAGCTGAGACAAGGTAAAGAGGAAGAGCCCCTTAGCTACCCACCCCAGTCAGAAGAACAGCGGGGACATGCGGGGTGAGGAGAAGCCATCCCGTGTCTTTCCCTCACCCCATCTCCCCCACTACGTCTGTCATCCTCAGTCTATTCCCATGCTTGGGGTTTCACAGTTGCCCTGAACTGGACCCCTCCAGGAGAAGAAACCTGAAGCTTCCCCAAAGTCCAATAGGATTAAGAGCCTGAAAGTACCTGGGAAATCAGTTAATCCAACAGACTCCTTCACTTGGCAGATGAGGAAGCTAAAACCCAGAAATGGGGGAGGGGTGGGGTGGAGGTGGGGTAACTTGCCCCAAAGTCACATGGGTAATAGCCTAGACTTTAACTTAGACTGTCTGTGACTTCAATCATCTGCCTCCTACCCACTTCCACATCAATGTGGATACTTTTATTCTGTCCCTTTCAGGCTGCAGATTCTTCTCCCAAGAAAGCCCTGAGAGTTTCAGGGTTTAGATTCTTCTTGACAGAGCTGAGGGAAGCAATGGGCCATTTGGAGGTTCTAGGAGGAGAAGAGATTGGAGAATAAGGTCTGGCTGTAAGTACAAATGATTTTTAGGGAACAACTCTCACTCCCTAACCTAACACTTCATTTTCTACTTCACAGGAAAAGCAATACAATCTGGCCTGTTCTAGTATGAATTGGGCAGATGCAGAAATATCCCTTCTCCTGGCAGGTGTTTCCATAATTCCAAATGTTATTTTTCCCCAGGATTCCTGCCCCTTGAGTGTGTTAGGATTTCTATGAAAAACAACAATATCATCTACACCAACAACTTAACAAAATACTGGTTGTGCCACTTATTAGATGTGTGACCTTGGGTGAGTCATTTCCTTTAATGTTTGTTCCTCAGTTTCCTTCTCTATAAAATGAGGGCTTTGGGGTAGATGATCTCTAAGGTCCCTATGATCCAGAATGGATGCCTTCCAGTCAGCCATGATGTTCTGTGTTTCTGTGCTATAGATTGTGTACTTTTCAGCATCAATGATAGCCTGTATTACAGTAGACAGAAACTTGATGAATATATCATCATGGCCTTGTGTATGAATGTGAACAGCTATCTGCACATCTGCCTCGCTGTTTTCTTCCACTTTTAGTTGATCTGTTGATTGACCTCAGTAACTCTGAGAGGTCAAAGATTAAAAAAAAAATAAACAATAACACAGGCACCAAGTATTTCTCCTATCCCCACTGAGAGAAATTTTTGAACTTTCACCCCTTAAGCCCCCTTGCTTTATGAGTAAAGGAGTCAGATCCCTTTTCATTTAATCACTGAAAATATGGTATCTTGAAATATGATGGCTTGAGATAGTTTTCATTCAAAGATCTAGTTATTACCTTATGAGAAATTGAATATATGGGAAAAGGACAATGAAAATAATGGGACAAAAGTTCTGAGGGGAAAAAAGAAGAAAAATTAAATTGATAGATTTTTTAGAAGTTGAGGTTTTAAAATGAAGTTTTTCCCTTAGCAATCTAGAAAATGTTTAACATTTTAAAATTGTTTTTCTCATTTACCTCTCTTCCTCTTTTAGGTATCTCCTTTCCTTTCTTCCACTTCTCTCTCTTTTATGCTGTCTCTGCTACTAGATGCTTTATTAATCTTTGGAATTTCAGTGAAGTTATTTGAATTTTTGGTCAGTTTCAGGTAAGAATATTTCCTATATTGAGGTTTAATGTAAAAGGAAATACTTCCAATAATTTGAGCTATCTAAAAAATGGCAGGTTCTGACAGCATCTGGGTGCTGGGTAACTCACTTGCTAGATATATCGCAGAAAGCATTCTGATTCAGAGATGTTAGGACTACATGTCGTCTGGCGGCCCTTCCAACTCTGAGATTCTACAATTTTGTGATTCTGCTAAGATAAATATAGGATGATTTTTCATTGGTTTTGCTTTGAATTTTGAAAATAACATTAGAAAATGTCCAAAATTGAATTATATCCCTAGGTTAATAAGAAAAGAAAGATAGGAATGTGTGTCATGTTTTCATTTTTTCTTAGATCATGCTCTTGAGATAGAGGCAATGAGGAAGAGTCTTACTAAAGATCTCCAATCCGCCTAATGCAGTCTCTGCAATTTCTAATGAAATAAATTACTCCAGAGAATTTCCTCTCAATGTAGTTATACCTTATTTCTGTATCTATTCCATAAGGGCTAATTTTATTGCTTCACTCTTTGAAGATACATTGAGTTTCTTTTCAATTGGATTCAGTGAATTATGTTATTAGGGCATTTGAGAGCATAATAATAATCTGTGGAAATCCTAAAGACAGTATGACTGACTCCAATATGAAGAAGTGGATGGATAGCTGATGTCAGAGTCAGAAAAAAAGTACTCCAAGCCAGTCTCTGACAAATTCTTTATGTTTTGCTCTGTGCAAATCACTAACCTCCCAGTGTCCCAAGATAATTCTCTAAGACCTGCATAGAAAGGGTTGCAGAGAAATGACTGATTTGAATTGGTGGCGGAAGTGACCTCATCATGAGTTCCCTTTACCAATATGTCACCACCATCAGCAACAAGGTTCTCCAATATATCAGCAATTTACACTATCATTAAGGGTCAGGTTAATTGCTTCCAAATTTATATATCTTATTCAGAATAATGTTTTGCTTCTTTAGATCTTTCAGAGTCCAAAGTATATTAAATAAAGGTCAGCTTCACAATTACATATCTCTACAAGACAGGGCAGTTAGGAGGCACAGTGGATACAGTACCAGGCCTGCAGTCATGAAGACTCATCTTCCTGAGTTCAAATCTGATCTTAGACACCTAGTAGTGAGGTGAGCCTGGTCAAGTCAATTAATCCTGGTTACCTCAGTTTCCTCATCTGTAAAATGAGCCAGAGAAGGAAATGGCAAACCGTTCCAATATCCTTGCCAAGAAAACCCCAAATATGGTCCAAAAGAGTAAGAGATGACTGTAAAATGACTGAATAACAACAAACAAGACAGGTAGGGCGAATATCAAATAGCATTTATATTCCAATATTTCAGTAGAGATAGAATTTCATCCAGGGAGGGGTATTGTTTCCATCAGTATATATCATAATCAACTTTCTTA